CCCCCCCCCCCCTCAGCCATTGTCCAGATAAGAGGTGACATTCATCTTCAGCTCAGTTGACATTGGACAAACATTGGTCTTTTGGTCTGGTTCTGTCCCAGATGTCTTGTGTTTCTTTCAGATGAAACTTCCCAAACCTGTCATGTTGTTTTTAGAGAAGAGACACCGTGACCTTTGACCTTTGTTCTGCTAGCTGAGACTTGTAGCGTCCGAGATGGAGTTTGTTCCTCTGAGCACTGCATGGTCTGACCTTCAGGGTGAATTTTTTGTGAAGACTTTCAGTTGTCTTAAATGTTTTCCACATGAGAAGATGTTTTGTTTCTTAGTAAAAACCACAAGGTTTCTTTTTAACCATCCTTTTATTATAAATGTTTATTTTATTTACTACTGTTACCACAGCGACTCAGGAGACAAACTTCACACCTGTACAGTAATCATCAAGCCGCTCTTACCTGAGAGCAAAAAAGCAAAAAGTTTATTGTTGTCAACTTTATTCCACGTTTCAAACAAGGTTTTCATGCTGACCTGTGAGGTTCCTTCACCTGTGAAACACCTGCTGAGCACAAACACAGAGAAGCGAAGAGGAGCAGGTCCGAGAGCAAAAATATCAATGATGTACACTAACCAAGTCATCGTCCGAACATTGTGTGTGTGTGTTTGTCTTTATTACATGGGGGACCATCGTCTGACAGCTACGACGGACCTTTAGGGACACGGTAAAATGTATATATATATATTACATTGCTTCTGGGATGCATATACGTGGCGTCATGATGTAATGACTCGCTTTTGTTTCCGTTTGAAAACGGCACCCAGTGAGGGTGAGCGAAACGGTGTATGACAACTGTTAGAGGTCTTCAGTAAACATGCCAGAAAGAGGCTGAAGAGATCCAGCAACTCCCTTAAAGGAGCATTTAGCTTCAGACTGGTCATTTGCTGACACGCCTACTGGACTGATTAATAGGTCGCGTCGTGGATCCAACTCGTGGGAAAAAATTAACGACAGCTGTAAAAAAAAAAAACAGTTATACAACTTTATTCTCGTTATGCTACGACTTTATTCTCGTAATTTTATGGCTTTGATTTATTTTATTTTTTTCTTAGTGTGGCCCTAAAACTCAGTCGTAGACAGCACTCACAATAGGTACCAAATTTTTGTGGGGACCAAAATCCCAGTTCCCACAAAATCACAATCAAATTCATGTGTGTGTGTGTGTGCGTGCGTGCGTGCGTGCGTGCGTGCGTGCGTGTGTGTGTGTGTGTGTGTGTGTGTGTGTGAGTCTGCACCAGCTCACAGACGGCTCAGGATCCAAAGTCCAAAGTCTGACATCCAAGACGCACGTTTGGTTTCACCTCTTTTATTTCCCACTGGATCTCCGTCAGTGTCCAAAGACAGTTCAAACTCAACTTTGTTGGTTCTGAAGTAGAATCAGTTCGTCGATCAGAAAACACCAAGTCACAAATAATTCAACAGGTAGTTCTGTTTCATTTGAACATCATATGTCAATGTTATCTCAAGACACCACCAAACTAACAGGCTGAACCCAAAGTAGGTCTCATTCTGTTCAGGCTTCAAGCAGACGGTAAGATTCACAGAAAACATCAAGTTCCCTGAGAACAGAGCAGGAAGTGACATAACTGCAGTTTGATTATCTGAATCTGAGGAAGAGGAGGAGGAAGAGGAGGAGGAATGGGTGGAGTAAGAGAGTGAAAACTGCAAATCACAATTAGAAAAGTGACAGAGACAAAGAGGAGTGAGACTGAGTGGAGGTCTCTGCAGGATCCTGTCTCCTGTCCATGCATCCGTTTTCCATCTGTCCATCAGTCCTTGTCCCACAAACGGAGCCACATGGAGAAAAAGACGCACACAGAGAAGACAGAAACCAGCTGCCAGAGGACAAGAAGGACACAACTTTCTGTTTCAGGACTTTATGGTTGAAGAGTGGACTTTAACTTGTTTGAAGAGGGAGATAAGTTGTTGTTCTGGATGGTCTCAGGAGTCCATCTGAGTCTGCAGCTGTGGCTCCAGTTGGAAGGAAACCATTTCAGGAATTTTTCAGAACATTTCTAGATCATTTTATTCTTTCTTCTGGATCTTGGATCATCTGTCTTGGGTCCAGCTGCAGATCAGAGTCTGAAGACCTCCTCAGCTGGTCTGAGACTGGAACTGGCCTGCTGTGGGGCAACTGAACGATCTCATTTGGACCTTGCACCTAAATGTGAGTGCTGGTGAAGCCTCACAGCTGTGATGGATGTTGAAGCAAGGATCTGCAGACAGATGAGGCTTTTGTGATGCAGATGATGGTTCTGCTGCTCGTGCAATGCTGAGAGACCGTGTGTTTCTGTGTTGTGTGTGTCTCTTTGTGCTGTTTTCCCAAACACCATCCAGAAAAGTCTGCTCCAAAGACCTCATCAACTGGGTCTGCACCAAAGATCTCATCAACTGGGTCTGCACCAAAGACTTTATCAGTCGGGTCAATTCCCTCACAAAGATGGCCTTAAACCAGGTAGGACTGAGACAGAGCTTTTATTCAACCTGTTCCCTTCATAAATGTTTTCTGAACAGATGCAGAAATTAATCAATGGTTTGTTGGCTGCACATTTTTAACAACAATCGTAAATTACCCATCCATCCATTTTCTTTACCTTCTTTTCAATTCTGGGTTGCTGGGAGCTGGTGCCCATGTCCAGCAGTGACTGTGAGAGAGGCGGGGACACCCTGGACATGTCTCCAGTCCATCACAGTCCGTCTTTTTTTATTTTTAAAGTGGAGACAAAATATTTTATTCAGGAACATTGAGTTGTTTATCCTAAACAGTCAAAGGGTTTGAAACAGCAGCAATTCTTTAGAGTTTCATTTAAAACTTCAACATTTTATCTTTTTTCTTGTGAAAATTTTGTTTTGTTGTGTAAATAAGTTCAAGAGTTTAAGAGAAATAAGTATGTTCTAATGCTGCAAAAACATTTATGTTTTAAACATACTTTAAACAATTACTAGTATGTATTTTCTTTAAGACAACACAAACTCTCAATAATAAAAATGATTCAGTTGCAGATTAAGTGTTTTAATGCCCTAAAGCAACATTCTTGTATTAACATGACTGAATAATTACATCCTGTAGGTTTCTGTACAATTCCATCCAAACACAAAGTTTTAAGCTGCAGGAAAATGAATCTCTAACTAGAATAATCACTGTGAAAAACCATATCATGTTGCTGCTGATCTGTTTCATGTTGCTGCTGATCTGTTTCAATGTTGATGTGTTCATGCGTGCACATCTGCTCACAGACTCATGTTCATGTTTGTGCTGATGTTCAATGTTTTATGTTATGAGTGCTTAGTGTATATTTAGTTGATGTTTTTCTTAGTTCA